ATTTTTTTCAATCTTTTGTTGATTGGTTTTATTAGGTGTTCCTAAATAACAATTCCTCCAAGTTTAGGTTATTTTACGTTTTACTTGGGCTATGTCACTTGGCGCGCACAACGCGAGCGTTTATTATTGTTTATTATCCTTGACGACCGTATCGAACTACCGGTTGTTATCGGTTCAAGAGCTCACTTACTAGAGACATCTATAAGTGGACATCATAAAGGGCTTTTTTGAAAGACGTCTTATAAAAAGATAACTTATTGATATCATTTTTAAGAGATGTTAATGAGGTCTTCAAAAAGTCCTCTTAAAGAGCTCTTCCTCTTAATAATGCTCACTGGGTTATTACTAAATTGTTTAATTGATTCAATTATGAACAAAATTTGTTTTTGACAGGATTAATTGAAGATTTAGTAACTATTATATAAAAATATGGTAATAATTATCAAATATTTCATTAAAATTCACAACTAAATGTATTTGATAACTATTACCAATCAGTTTTTTCAGTGTACAGTTCTGCATTATTACAATATTCATATTATTAAGATTTTGCTTTGATTCATTATTCGTTTCTACAAGGTGTCCCACGGGAAGTTGCTGAAACTAAACGATTGGTTCTCTCCTCCATGACTTCAGAGAGGGTCTTACGGTTAATTGTCGTCCACCCAAGGGTCCGCAATTTTATTCTGGCTGTGGTAGAAGCAAATCTGTGTGCGTAAAAATGAGTAATCTGACAACGGAAAAAAAGGTCTATTTTATCGAGTGCTTCTTTTCTAGAGGATAGTGAATAGCAGTAATTATAGGGGGTTTCGTACTAAATACGGAACACATAAAGTTACAAGCGAAAACACACTGAAAAAGTTAGAATTCATTATTTATTTAAATTTATGCGTTACTCCATTTTTTGGCAATAAATCTGCATAAAAATAATTTTTTATGTTGTTTTTAATAGAATTATCGATAATTTTATGCAGCATGGAACTATCCAAGACCGTAGACACGATCTGCCAAGTACTTATGTGTCTGTAACTGTAGAAGAAGTATTGAAAAAATTTTATAATTATTTTGAACAGAATTCAAATCTGTCTCCATTCGGAAAGATGCCCAAGCCTTTCAAATATTAAAACAAAACAACGGAATTACACAGAATTTTAAAACATTTTCTGAAAATGCATCCGTATAAAATAACATCTCATCAATTGCTAACCGAACGCGCTATGACGAAACGTATGGAATTTTGCAAAACGATAAATGGAATGTTTGAGGATGGAGAACTTGATGAAAAATTGATACTTTATACGGACGAGGCACATTTCTGGCTAGATAATTATGTGAATAATCTTTTTTCTTTGGGGATACATTAAAGACAAATGTTATGCCGGAAATCCAAAAACAGTGCTAGATTTAGTAGCAGCTATTAAAAAGGTCCTCAGAAACATTAAAGACGATATGTTAGAAAAAGTTTTTACGAGTTTTTATAAAAGAATTGAGTTTTGTACAAATTCAAATAATGAGCACTTCGAAAATATTTATCATTAGTTTATTTGATTATTAGCATATTTTTCATCAATAAAATAAACTGATATACAAACATTTTGCTAAATTTTATTTATACCCATTCAAAACTGCAGACTTTCCTCTTTTCAACGCAATTTTTGTTTTTTCCATAACTAAATACATTTGAAAATGACAGCTGATTAGCTTCAGCAACTTCCCATGGGACAGCCTGTATATTATTTATTAGAATACGGTTTTTAGTTACTCTTATATTAACCCCATATAAGATTTTGCACGATTACAATATTTGCATTATTATGGTTTTATTTTGATTTATTATTCGTCAAGAATACACTCCTTGGTTATTATTGATTATTCTTCTAGATTTTATACGGATTAATTTTTCTTACATACATATCTAGATAACTCAAACGTGTTTATTATAAAAGAATTTTTATGAACTATTCTTCCGCCACCTTCATCTGTTCGTAAATCTTACCGATCGAGTCCCACGTTAAGATACAAACATTACGTGATGTCTCGACAATGGCAAAATTCTAAAAAAACAGAACATAATTAAAGAGATCTGTACAAGTCCATCTAAAATTCATCTAAAGAGCAAGATTGAAGTTATAATTATAAGTATTAATTATAAATTATTAGTTATAAGGATATTAATCATAAGAATATTGAATAACTAAACAATGCGTTGAACAAATAAGTAAAGAGATAAGAATAACGTAAGCAAAGGTTGATAAAATAATTTCACGGGAGATTAAGAAGCATCGTCGAAAGCAAGTCGGCTTCGTCCAAGAAGTTACCAGACACCAATCTTATCCGCCGGCTGTCTTCCGTAAACGAAATTGACGAGCTGCATATCAACCTCCAGCCAAACGATATTCCAACGTACCAAGAAGCCGGCGTGACAATTAAAAATCTATGTAATACTCTCGAGAGCCTATTCCCTCACCACAAGAGGACCAACGTACATCATCATCGCTCACCGAGCAGTGCTCTTTCATCAGCCTCACTGTTAAGTCAGATTGTATTCTATATACTATTTTCTGCATTGTCCATTGT